AAGACGTTTCCGTGGTCATGTGGCTGACATGACTAAACACCAAGGCGCACGGAACGCTGTTACCTTCCCACCGAAGTGGTACCTATTTATCTGCTTGCAGTTTCTTGCTTTCGAACTGCTAGGTTGGCAGGAGCTGGAACTAGAGACAGGAGCTCACTCCGTCATGTGGCACCCGGGTCTCAAACTGCTGAACTACCGACCTTCCACAGCCTGCAGTTCAGCGTCTTAACCACTTGAGCCACCGCAGCTCCTTAGAGGAGAAGAGTTATGGGTATTTTAGGCTGTTAGGGCTTAAATGACAATGTTGTTGTGGCTGCAATCATATGCACAATTAGACCCGACATAGGTGCGAATGCTGGGCGGATTTAAAGGGTGTGATCAGACAACAACATCTGGGAAGCGCCCTGCAGCTGTCGGCAACCCGTTCTACTCCGCCGCAGAAGCGGAGTTAAAAGGCATCGGGGGAAATCTGGTAGTAAACGGGTTGTGTCGGACCATGGACGGCCTTTCCCCGTGTCCGATCGCTCCAGTGTGCTCTCATGCCATCAAGATGGTTTGAGAGCCAGTTTGGTGTAGTGGTTAAGTGTGCGGACTCTAATCTGGGAGAACCGGATTTGATTCCCCACGCCTCCACTTGCACCTGCTGATGTGACCTTGGGTCAGTCACAAGCTCTGGCACAGCTGTCCTTGAAAAAGAGCAGTTTGTGTCAGAGTTCTCTCAGCCCCACCTACCTCACAGGGTGCCTGTTGTGGGGAGGGGAAGGGAAAGGAGTTTGTAAGCCGCTCTGAGACTCCAAGTGAAGGGCGGGGTATAAATCCAATCTTTTCTTCTTCTTCTTCTTGATCAGGCCATCCTGACTCATGCCGTTGTTCACACCCCCCCTTCTCAGTATGCGCATCATCGCAAACTCCATAGGGAGCCCTCAGTGCAGAGGTGCGATTCATAGATTCCTCATTTAAGTGCATGGGAAACAAACGGCACCAAAAAACGACTCACCCGCAGTTGCGTCTGATCACACACTGACGGACTGCGCCCGCAGCTTCACAGGGAGGTGTGATCGTGCAACTGCGGGTCAAATTCCTCCCGAGGAAATAGCCTTGCTTCCCCCCCCCCCCCGCTTAAGGGTCAAATACCTCCCGAGGAAATAGCCCTACTTCCCCCCCCCCCGGTTTTATCTGGCGTGTGTGACCCCAACCTCATCGTTCCAAAGGGCAGTCATGTTGGTCGGCAGCAGAACATCCAGATTCGAGTCCAGGAGCACCTTAGAGGCCTCTCTGGTGCTTCCTTCCCAAGTGTCCAGATGATGAAAATGTCATTAATAAATCTCAGGTACAAGAAGGAGCTGCGGTGGCTCAAGTGGTTAAGACGCTGAACTGCAGGCTGTGGAAGGTCAGTAGTTCAGCAGTTTGAAACCCGAGTGTGCTGCATGATGGAGTGAGCTCCCGTCTCTAGTTCCAGCTCCTGCCAACCTAGCAGTTCGAAAGCAAGAAATTGCAAGTAGATAAATAGGTACCACTTCGGTGGGAAGGTAACAGCGTTCCATGTGCCTTGGCGTCTAGTCATGCTGGCCACATGACCACGGAAAAGTCTTCGGACAGCGCTGGCTCTTCGGCTTTGAAACAGAGATGAGCACCGCAACCCTAGAGTCGGAGTCAACTGGCTTTCGAGCAAGGGCACCTTTACCTTTTACAAGAAGGGTGTTCACATTTCACTGGTGGTCGTGGAAAGTACTGTCAGGTCACAGCTGACTTATGGTGACCCTATAAGGTTACCAAGGCAAGAGATGTTCAGAGGTGGTTTGCTGTTGCTTGCCTCTGCGCCACGACCCTGGTATTCCTTGGAGATCTCCTATCCAAGTGTTGGAATCTCTGGACTCGGTTCTGCCAGGGAATCATGAAAAAGTAGCAGAACCGCTCAAGGCTTTAACAGCAGAGCTGGGGCTAGGTGTGGCCACAGACTTACAAAGGTACACGGAGTCAGAAATCAGTTCTACAACTAATAAGCAACTTTTATTAAAGGAAAAACATGCTGGAAAGGGCAGGTAAGAGACAGATATAGATTACCTACTCTAACTAACTAGATGGTGTTGGATGCTGGATGCATGTCCAGCCTCCATGGTGCAAGATGGAGAAACCGTGCACCTTCTTTTGTGTGCGAGCGAGAGAGAAGTGTGAGAGAGAGCAGAAACAGAGGAAATTGCCCCTAAGAGTAGCATTCTACTTCAAAAGAAAGGATCAGGTAGCAGGAAGGAAAAGGATGTTCTATGTGTCCTGACCTCTCTGTCTGTCTAAACTCTTTGGTGACATCTCTCAAGTCTGAGACAGGAGATATCGCAACGTCCTCCACTTCAATCCCCAAGTACTAGCCCAGGCCAACCCTGCTTAGCTTCCAAGATCTGGACTATCCAAGTCAGGGCAGCATCTCACTTGAGGTGCTAATTGTCTATGCGCTTCTCCTCTGCTCTAATCCAGCCAATTACATTGTGCATTGTACCTCTACACCAGGGGTGGCCAAACTGTGGCTCGGGAGCCGAGTGCGGCTCTTTCACACATATCATATGGCTCCCGGCTGGCTCTCTATCTATTTGCTCTCTCTCTTTCTGTCTGTCTCTCTTCCTCCCTCCCCCCCCTCCTTCCCCCATCTATTTGCTTTCTTTGTTTATCTCTCTCTCTTTCTTTCCACCTCTTTCATTCTCTCTTTCCACCTCTCTGTCTCTCTCTCTCTCTCTCTGACAAATAAATAGAATTAGCAGACAAATAAGATCAAAAGAACACAAGAGAAGCCAATGTCAGATCAGGCCAATGGCCCATCCAGTCCAACACTCTGTCACACAATGGCCAAAAATACCAGGTGCCATCAGGAGGTCCAGCAGCGGGGACAAATAAATATCATTGGACAAATAAATATCATGATCAATATCTGTTTCTACCCCTTTTGTTTTTATTTTTGGCAGTCTTATTTAATGTTAATAAAAAGCAAATTTGCATATTTCCCAATAAAACTGTGTGTGTAATATTTGTTCATGTCTTGTGGCTCTCAAACATCTGATGTTTATTCTGTGTGGCTCTTACGTTAAGCAAGTTTGGCCACCTCTGCTCTACATCCTGAGTGCCTTCTTTTGCAACACCCCTTCCATCTTCTGGCCGGAATGTAAGAACTCATCGATCCCCATTCCAACATGTATCTGGCAAAGGGACTCTTGGAAGCTTATTTCCCCCAAATCTTATTGGTCTCAAAGGTGCTCCTGCCTTCCAATCTGAATGTTGTTCAAGAATCACATGGCAGAGATCTCTAGGCTCTTTTAATAGAAGAAACGTCTGGTAGTTCTGCCAAATGTCACCCACGAGGCCCCCACCCAATTGTTAAGGATGACCAGGCTGTTAATGCAGAGTATGTAATCTGGGTGGGAAATCTTGTGAAAACCGCTCCAGTAAATTACCTGACTCCACAGGTAATTTCTGATTAGCTCGCTTCTCTCCCCTTGGTGCTGTGGCTGTTTCCATAGCAGCTAAATCCTAAGTAAAATGGAGACATCTGGTCCAAAGTCAGGGAAAGATCACTCAGGGGAAAGGAACCGGGTGGAGGACGGCCGAGAGAGAAGACATCCTTGCAGAAAGTGAGCGGTGGCGGCAGCACCTGTAAGTGACACGTAGCAGCTGGAGCAAAAGCCCAGGAGTGTCTGGCAGGGCCCGGAATGATCAATCAGGAAGGCAGAGGGCACGGGAAACAGGCAGAGGGTCAGATCGGCATTAGATGGGTCGAGGCATCAAGAAAATAGCTGAGCAAGGTGCACAGCCATCCTCAGAAATTTCACCCGTCTTATCAAAAACCTTTGGATTCGTTTTGAAAACACTCAAGGAATTTCCCCCCCAGCTGAGCCTACACGAACAACCTGAAATTTTGGTTTAAGTTAAATCTGGGGGCGACTCTGCTAAATGTTATGGTCATGCTGTGTTGCATCACCCAGGGTGGGTGCTAAAAAGAGCTGGGATGTCGCTGTGACGCTCTGTGTGCTTAGCTCAGGATGGATGCAGACGAGCAGGCGTCGTATAAGGCATAGCCCTCATCAGACTGTACCATTTTTGACTGCGAGAAGAAGCATAAATGTTTGACTATCTACGTTTTTTTAAAGTTCTAAGTTTGAGTCCAGTGGCACTGGAGACCTTTAAGCCCAACAAAGTTTAATTCAAAGTATGAGCTTTCATGCATGCACACTTCAGATACGTTTCCTCTTCTTCCTCTTCTTCTTTTTTTTTCTCTTCTTCTTCTTGGAAGAGGATTTAGCTACATGATCTACAACTTGCCATCTAAAGTGAAACTGTCCAGAAAGGATTTAAACATGCCGCTTCACTCCAAAGAACGTGATTTTCTTCTAGTAAGACATTTCTGTACATCAGTCCTCTACACAAGACATGCAAACAGCTATGGGTGTTTGCGGAAAGGGGAAAACAACCTTATCTAGATAATCCAGGAATATGTTTATAACTACAATCATATGTAAAAAGCCTCTGCACGAATGCATGCACTACTCCCTACACATCCATATTCACAGTTGTTCTTCAACACAGGAACACTTATGATATGTTCTCTGTTATGCCAAGCACAGACGACTATCCACGCGGGTACTATAGCAAAGGAGTTGGATCAGACACAATTTTTGTTTGCTTGCATTAAAGCTCCTGCGCAGATGGAAACACAAGAAAAAGATTGCAGCGACTGCTTGTGCTAAGTCAAACTTATTGCATCCCGACTTGTGTTTCTGCTTGTGCAGGATCTCTGCAACTGATATCTAGTCATCATAATAAGAACGCACTAGGTGTTGCGCAAGACCTTGCAGAAGCAAAACAACACTCAGTCTGGTTACGTTTCTGCTGGCACACTGCCAGACCCAAGCCAAGATCATCACCAACTTCAAACAAGTCTCTGACATCGAGAAATCCCACAGTTGAAAAGAGGGACATTGCCCACAACAGGGCACGCAGTGGATAACATGTCTTACCTTTGGGCGAAATGTGTCTCCAAGTGATCATGGGGTCTGGCCTCCCCGTGGCTATGCAGGTGAGGCTGATGTTGCCACCTTCGTTGATGGAGATGTCTGAAGAGATCTCAACAATTTTGGGAGGAACTGCAAAGACATAAGGAGAGAATGAAACATGGCTAGTCAAGCTGACAATGATGATTCTAGCACTCCTGGCTTCTTAAAAAGTGGACCAGTGAGAGCAGTTATGGCATACAGCCAAAGGCCATTGCAATTCATCACAAAGAAGGTAAAACATAAATAATAAATAACAGCAGTAAAATAACGGAATGTAAAAATACTCATCATGTTAAAACATTTCACTCTTCAGAGACAACTTTTGCTCACATTTCCTTGGCTGCCAAGGCAAACAACAACACCGTGTATGAAATGAGCGGGTCGGTATCCAAGAGAAGAAAATTCAGCTTCTCTGCTCATGAGGAGGAGTTTAAGACCTTCAAAAATGTCGCAAGAAATGTGGTTCTAGGGCAGGAACCAGAGCTCTGCATATATACAAAATGCACTGGAGTTCATCTGATTCACACACAGGGATGAGATGAGATGAGATGAGACCCACAAATCTTTCCAACAAGTGTTCCAATGTCATGTTCACACTGCGGTATAGGCAATCACTATGAGGCAAACCAGAGGTTTTTGTAAGGGAACTGCACAGTTTTTCCTGGAAGTGACAGCAATGAGTTTCATTGAACTGTAATATTTTGGTCAAGAAGGATCTGATGGATCCTCTAGTCTGACCATCAAACTCAGAGTGATTCTGCATTGGCTTTTCCCTCTTTTGTTTTACAAACCCAGGTTGGAACAGAAATTCCCCTCTTCCTTGCATGCTGCTTTCACTTCTTTTGATCATCGGATTTTATGGTACCCTCCACACTGCATGCTGCTTTTGTTTTCTTTGATCACTGGATTTTATGGTGCCTTCTGCATAGATTTATGGCCAGTCAGGGTGACTTTGCAGTCAGTATGGTTTTGCCCTGAGGTATCTGAATGTGGTTTTGAGCTGCACTTTATCCTCCCAGTTGAGAAAAAGTGAAGCGAATGCTAGATGCAGAATCGCCCTCGGACAACCTTCACTCGTCCAGTGACATCTCCCTTAGGTCTTGGCCTCACATGTTGGCTTTTGCTCACCTTGATGTGTGAAACTCCCTCCCAGGATGCCTGTGTGATGCCACTTCCTTCTCTTCCTTCAACCGCTTCTCAAAATCCATTTCTTTTGTGGAACCCGGACTTTGACTCAGTTTTTATTTTTAGTTAGCCCAAAGTCTAAGCCAAGAGCCCCCAACCTTGTAGAGCCTGCTGGTACTTTTGGAATGTTGAGAACATTGAGTGGGCACCCACCACCAAATGGCTGCCATGGCAACTGGGTGCCATCATCAAATATTTGGGGTGGGTCTAAAGTGAAGCCTTATCTTGTGATGAAAAAAGAGTGCAGACAGAAAGGCTATCAGAAGAAGAAAAAGAAGAAGAAGAAGAAGAAGTTGAATTTATACCCCACCCTTTATTTGGAGTCTCAGAGCAGCTTAACAACCTTACAATCTCCTTTCCTTCCTCTCCCCACAACAGATACCCTGTGAAGTAGGTGGGGCTGAGAGAGGTCTGACAGAAACTGCTCTTGAGAGAACAGCTCTGAGAGAACTGTGGCAGAACCAAGGTCACCCAGCTGGCTGCATGTGGAGGAGTGGGGAATCAAACCCGGTTCTCCCAGATTAGAATCCACGCTCCTAACCACTACACCAAACTGGCTCTGCTCCAAAATTAGCTCTTTGCTTTGGGGGAAATATGCTCTGGGAAACAAGGAATGGACAAAACAAAACATATTTGCTAGCACCATTGTGCCCAGGGGCACCACAATGGGGATCGCTGGTCTAAGCAGTGTTACTGTACACCTGGTGAAGCCGGAACATCATGTAGAATTTTATGTATTGAACAAAAACCTGTGGTTTCCTGGCCCCTTATTTAGCACAGGATCGATAGGGTGACCAGGGCTGAGAGCCTTCATGGCCTTGGCGCCCTGAGGCACGACAGAGAAAGGAGACCCATGCCCCCCATTACCCATCCCGCCTTCCCTCTGTTCCTTCCTTCCGGCACCTTCCCGTGTGTCAGTCACTGGTGCAGACGCAAGCTTTTCCCAGGGAAGCTGGCTGAGTGCAGAGCAACTGCAGTGGCCTTGCATACATTGCCTCTGACGCGCAGGTAAGTAATTTATTGATCCGTAAAGCACTCCGAGACGCTCAGGAAGGGATTATGTCATGCCAACGCCGTGCAATAAAATAAAAAATGATGGACTTTTTGTGAACACGAGGGTGATTTAGGGTTTGTAGCTGGAAGTGTAGTTAAAGTACATTTTAAGTGGAAATCAAGGTAGGTAATGAATTACTCGACGTCCGGGAGAGGCTGCCGGGAGTTCGTTTTCTCGGCTTCTGACTCAGGAGCTAATATTCTAACTGTACGCTAGAGGACAATAGAGGATCAAGCACAGACTGCCGGCATTGGATGGGGTGGGGAAGGACATTAAGTGAAGCAGCATCTCCCTGCTCCTAGTAGCTGCCACTTAGTAAAAGTGGGATGCTGGGAAGGGGGTAAAGTAGAAAGGCAAGGTCCAGGCACTGGGCAGTGTCCCTTGCAGATGTCACCTTATGGTAGAGATGCCATTGCACCTTTTATTTTGTGAAATGCATCCCATGAAGAATCAACAGACAGTGAGTCAAACCGGCACTTGTGCTTATTTATTTATTTAAAACACTTTCTATCAAATTAGGGCCTTCAAGGTGCTGAAGTTGTTCCCTCAAACACATTCCCCCCCAAGACCAGTTCATCTGTTACCTGAGTGGTATAAGACCCATGGCCCCATACCCTGATACAAGGCCACACTGGTAAAGTTGAAAGCTCATTGGGAGCATCCCCTTCCATGAGGTCCCTCCCCCCCCCCCCCACTGTGCCTTCTGCGTTGGAGCTCTTGAGGCCTCAGAACTGGGGAAGGCAGGAAACCATCTGAGCACTACAGGCCCCTTCTTTCCTCCCAGTTTGGTGTAGTGGTTAAGAGCAGCGGACTCTAATCTGGAGGTTTGATTCCCCACTCCTCCACATGCAGCTGCTGGTGTGACCTTGGGTCAGTCACAAGTTCTCTCAGAGCTGTTCTCTCGAGGGCAGTTCTCTCAGAGCTCTCTCGGCCCCACCCACCTCACAGGGTGTCTGTTGTGGGGAGGGGAAGAGAAAGATTGTAAACCGCTCTGAGTCTCTGAGTGAAGGGTGGGTTATAAATCCTCCTCCTCTTCTCTTTCTCCCCCCCCCCCGGCAACATTACTCTGCCTCCATTTCTGCCTTTGTCCTGCTACCTTCCTCCTTGGCCTGTCTGTGAAGGCTGCCTTTTATTTCCCTCTCTGGTCTTCCTCCCATCTCCTCTGTCCTTGAGGAGCCAATCATCCACCACTCCGCAGTCACCCGGTAGCCCCTACACCTGGGTCTGGCCCAGCCTTGCCTGTTTCCTTGGTCCAGGTGTTTTTCCTCAGTCACGCTGGCTTGGATCCTGTAGATTCCCTTGTCTGCCTTAGGCAGATAACTTGTTCCCTCTGTGGGCCACGGACCAGGTGAGTATCCCAGCTCCAGGACCTCAGTGTCTGTGTGGGGCTGAGTTCAGACACTCATGCAGAAGAGAGATCCAGCATGTTGTAGTGGCTAGACTGTTGTATTAGGACTTGGGAGTTGTGCAGGCAGGAGTAGAATTTATGAGATCTTGGCCAATTCCCAGAAGATACCAAAGGGTATCAGAGAGCTGTTGAATCAGTGTAGGGGGAAACAGCTCAAGAAATGCAGGAAGTGGGCTTTACAGGTGGGCAACAGTTCTGCTCCTACAAAACGGAGGTTCTTCAAAGCAGTTCTGAATGATGGGGATGGCATATGATACAAATCAGATTAATGGAACGTGAAAGATAAATCTGAATCCAGCCTATACAATTTAGGTGATGCATGAATCCAAACATTTAGTCGTGCTTTTTGAACGCCTTTAAGAAACCATTTTTTTTAAAGTGCCGAATCTTGCATCTTACCTGCACAATCTAGAGTTTTGTCAAATGGGTATCACATTTGCTTCATTTGAAGCCCTTTTCATCGATTCATTTGTATGCAACCACTTCAGACTGGGAACGTTTGGTTTCTTCCTCCATTTCCCGATATATCACAATAGTGCAGTCTGTTGCTCCTGAACCAGTGTCATTCCACCAGCAATACAGAAGTTCAAAAAACTTTCAGGTAGGCTGCTTTTGAGGACTGCAGCACAAATAATTGGCTCAAGGTGCAGGGGAAAGTCCGTGACCACAGGAAGCTGCCTTGTACTGAATCAGACCCTTGGTCCATTAAAGTCAGGATGGTTTAGTCATACTTGCACATCCCCTTCAATTCACTCAGTTCAGCATCTCAGACAAAGGTGCTTCCCCAACCCTCCTACCTGGGATCCTTGAACCAGAGATGTCGGGAGCTGAACTCGAGCACACCTGCATGCAATGCTTCTGTTCTACCACTGTGCAATGGCCCCTTCCCAAACTGATTTGGCATATTCAGAGTCTCAAACTCACACCTTAAGAAAGTGAGCACATGGACACACATGAAGCTGTCTTATACCCAGGGCTACTTTTGGGCAGGAACCGCACAGGAACGGAGTTCTGGCTGGCTCCCAAGTTGGCCACACCCAGCAGGAACTCACTAGCATAACAGGCCACACCCAGCAGTAGAAACTCATTAGGATTGGCTACATTAGGGGTGTGTGGCTTAACATGCAAAGGAGATCCGGCCACAAAAAAAGGCCCTGGGTTTTGACAACAAACAAGGTAAACAGAATAAGAAGCAAAAGGTGGGTGTGGCTGGATGAGCACACTTCTGGTAACATGGGAATGCGGCCCAATATGCTAATGAGTGGTGCAATCAGGGGTGTGGCCTAATATGCTAATGCGTTTCTGCTGCTGGGTGTGGCCTATTATGCGAATGAGTTCCTGCTGGACTTTTTCTACAAAAAAAGCCTTGCTTATACCAAATCAGACCATTGGTCCACCCAGGTCAGTATTGTCTGCTCAGAATGGCAGTGACTCCTAGGGGTC